ATTTTCTTTGGAGATGTTGGTTTGACTACATCAGTTCCAAAAAGCAACTGAACAGAAGAGGTAAGGTGGTAGATTTAATGTGTGGAGAGGTTGAGTAGGATTTAAATCACATTTGTTTAACTTCCCCAAAGCTAAATCGTTTTCGAAGATTACTGGTGTCAGTTGGAGTTCTCAAGATGTTGAAATTGCTAATTTGCAATCTTGATGACTGCATCTTTGTGTCTATGGGAATATGGTGTTTTTGGTAGAGATAAATCAGGACCTGGTAGATATTAAAAGTACAACACATAGGCAATGATTCCAAATTTTTTTTTTTTTGTGATATATGAACGACTAATGTCCGTACCCATTTGGTTGTTGGGGAACAATTGGGTCGATAATTGGTTTGAACATGGTGGCGATATTTTCATGAATGAACCCATCCCCATCCCACGCAGAGATAATCCCCTCCAGTCGCATTATCTAGTTACGAATAATTTAACATTACCATTATCATTACTGAGCATATTGTTGCAAGTGAATCATAACCAACAAAATAATTGTTACCACTTTCTTCGCCAGTTCAATCCTCGACTTATTTGTAACTTCCGAACGTAAGGTGTCGCGGATTAGAATAACAGATCTTTTCATATCAACAATACACATGTACCAATGAATATTGCCATCCGATATCGTCAACTTTATACTCAAACATTTGTCAGCACAACCGTTGAATACTCTATCTCGAAAGAACCTTTTTTGAATCGAGGCGTCGCTATGCAACGACAAAGGCATGCCCTGTAAGGATCATAGATATTGATAGACTACATTGGAAAATTATTAAAATGATAATGTGTCTCACACTGAAAGATGCCGGTAAAATCCAGTTGCGTTTACTACTATATTCTTTAGTCCGATTCAATGTCACATGAAGGGCAACCATATCAATGACCTACACAGAAAATCAACTACTTATGAACCTAATTCAACTTGTGAACCAATAAGGAAAAAACATTAAGAATATGTACGCACCGGACTTAACAACCAGTTGGGATATTCAATGGTTAACATCTCTGCTCTCGTGACACTCCAGCCCTCATACTTGACCAACAATTTGTTGTACAAAATATAATGTTAGACAGTATTGTAAATGTAGTGGTGCCGTTTAAATTGACAAGGAAAATGTTATATATATAAATATATATATATATATATATATATATATATATAATCCAAATCCTTAATATGCAGTGTTGCCGTTTTCTTACGAAACATCCTCGTCACGATTGAAAATGTACTCAGACGCATTTGTATCCATAATCGTTATTTCTTTAAAAATATTGAAAGATGTCTTTTCCCGTGTTGCAAGACCGAACGGGAGTGTATGTATCTGGCGAGCAAGCATCAAAATCCAGTTTGGTGGGTTTCATTGTCTTGTCAAACGATTCTTCTAAGGCACCCTTCTGCCCAGTCATCCTATTTTTCCCATTTTCACAGGCAACATTCTGGCCAGTCATCCTATCTTTTCCATTTTTAGAAGCAACCTTCTGCCCAGTCATCCGGTCTTTTCCATTTTCAGTTTTCATTTTGTTGACATCTTGTCCACAATTAACGGGTGTGTCCCAATTACATTTCAGCAAAGATATTATGCCAGATACACCCTGATTAATAAGGGTTAGGTGTTCAATGAGCTTGTCTCTTACTATTGGATCTGTGGTTGAATCACGCTGAACATAATCCTTGGAGATGCTTTCATCCATCTTTAATCCTCCCGACTGCTCATTAACATTCCAAATCTGAAAAAATAACCAAAAGAAAAAGATTACATTATTCATATGTTAATGGCCATTTAAATAAATTTCGTACAAAGAAATTAAATCCACATGTGAACTTACAAAATTCTCATCAAAACCTCCCATGTGTTTAAACAAATCAATTGCTCTAGATATCTCTTGCTGGCTCCATTGTTCTAAAAAAAGGGATCCAGTATGCAATTGATTTCCGATAAAAGGGAATGATCTAGCCACATGACCAACGAAAACCACCTACAATTGTTTAAAATCACTTTAGAAGATATCTTATGCAACAATTTATTAACATATGATGCATATAACAATAGACTACCTGCAGTAGTAGAATACATCCCGTGATGTACGATTTATTACCGCATTTAGCTGACATAGTTCCGTCACCTAACTTGCGAAGAATTATTTCAGACCAATTGTATTGTTGGAGAACATATAAATCAACCAAGTAGTTTAGAAATTCATAGTCCAGAGGTGTATCCCTAGCCCGTGGAAACAACACCGTGGCGAAAAGCAACATCAAATATGAAACTATGAATTCAGTCCCGTTCGTCTTGCAATCTTAAAGCTCCGAAAATCCAATGAATTGTCCTTCTTTCCCAGAAAATAACTTACGGTACGTGTGTCTACCATTGACAGTTTTAGGTTTCACCATTCCTTCACTTGAAAGACCGAAATGTTTCTCCACAACAACGGGTGACAAAAGAATTGTCTTTTCTCCGATATCCATAGTTCTTGAAATGGGGTTATAATTTTTAACCAACATATTCAGCAACTTTGAATCCATTTGTGAAACGTTCATACGAGATAATGCCCCAAATCCAACCTTGTCTAAATCACGGCGCTGGCTTGGAGTTAAGTCTTTATTGATTTTGAACAGTGTCGTTAGTTTTGTTCTGTGAAAGAAAACTATGTCATCCATTGGATTACGTGGTGATTTGATAACTTCTTTTCTTCTTCTTTTGGAACTACTAGCAGGTGTAGCCTACAGATTGGAATAATAAAACATTTAGACGACTAATGAAACTCTTTACGAAAGAAAATAATATGAATTATCAAAGAACAACAATTTGTAGGATATTTATTTAAAAAAAAAAAAACCAAGAACAACAATTACCTCTTGAAAATAAGACATTTCTTGGAAAATCCCCACCTGCAACGTTTGGTAATGGATGCTGAAGATGGAGGACTATTTTCTTCTTCTTCGTTAATAAGATGACTGCTTCTGAAGATGGAGGTTTATTTTTCGGGTAGTGACCATATAGTATAGGGGGGTTATTTTTATCGTGTATTACGAGATCCGAAAATCCGTTGAGATATTTTAGGTGAATTACATATCCCGATATCCATGGTTGGTTGCAATACAAACGAACCTACCATATTCAATCAAAAAGTAAATATATTTTGAATATATTAGTAGTACTTGACATATATATGTTATCTGCAATTTGGTAAATTTGCATTTAAGCGTATACATTTGGTCAACATTTTCTTTTATTAAAAAATAAAAAAATATTTGTATTTTTAATGGGATATAAAAAATAAAAAAAATTATTTGGTCAACTTTTTTTTTTCACACTATGTGGTTTCATAAATTTTATATTCAATTATAAAATGTTCATTTAGATTGACCATACGATCTTAGGACAGTTGCATCTATATGTGTGTAACTATATACTAGTAAAATACCCGTGTATTACACGGTTGTTGAATTAGAAATACACTATCGTAAAAAATAATTTTTTTTTAAAACTAAAATAATTTAATTTTTTATAAAACATTACTTTGGGTTTTAATTAAATTTTGAAAATATTTTTTTTATAAATATCGATATTATTTACTATTACATAAGTACAAAAATATATATCTTAAATAAATAGAAAATATAATGGTGATATGTATATGTATAAGTGTGAAAATCTATATCTATATCTATATATTTTTTTTTTATCGTTAAATAAAGATTATAGATGAAAACTGATGTTACATTGACCGTCACATAGCATACGGAAGCATAGTGAGCAGCCACAATCTCGGCTCCTCACTCGCTAATCAAAATATTGAGAGGCAAACCACAGGTCGGTTGGTCAGCTCAAACCAAAATGAAACCCTAAATCAAAATGAAACCCTCATCAAAGTGATTATAGATCTAATCATACGTATCTTAAGGAGGCTTCGCCTAGCCATTTTCGAGTGTATATCTATATATTATATATATAGGATGTGGTTCAAATGAGAACCAAGTCCTAGCGTGAGAACCACTATTTTTAATTGTATGTAGTGCTATGATTGATTGTGTTTTAGTGCTATTTTTAACTATGATATATTTGATTAAAATAGCAATAAAAATTTTATTAGCATTTGTATAAATAATAGCACCATGCAATATTAAAAATAGCATCATACACAATTAAAAATAACATCAAATATGGTTCTCACGGTTCTCACACAAGACCTAGTTATGAGAATAATCATTTATCTAAAATATTAGTAAAAAATATGTCAGAATTTATTCAAACGTGCTAGACTGGTTAATATTATTCAACCAACTGGTTTTGACGGATTCGACAACAAATAACTTGTACAAGCGAACTAGACTTGTTAATCGTATCGTTCAACCAACTGGTTTTGACGGATTCGACAACAAATAACTTATACAAGCAAATTAGACTGGTTAATTGTATCGTTCAACCAACTGGTTTTGACGGATTCGACACCAAATAACTTATTCAAGCGAACTAGACTGGTTAATCGTATCATTCAACCAACTGGTTTTGACGGATTCGACAACAAATAACTTATTCAAGCGAACTAGACTGGTTATATAACAGTCTAGTTCCATCCGGTCAGACTGTGTCCACTCCAATCAAATTTAAAAAGAATGAGTAAATCATGAATAATGCTATTTATATATTTAATTTATAAAAAAAAAAAAATCGTGAATGCAGTACTAAATCATATTAGTAACTGGTTTTAATTACATCAATCATCTAGCAAATCTAAAAGTTAAAATTTCATTTTTTTCACTTACAAAAGAAAATATCAAATTTCAATTCAGCAATTTTTTTATCTTCGATTATATTATTCCATATTCAACGTCCATTCCATACCATAAAGAAGATAACCGGAAACAAACCGTTCCATTCGATTAAATATTTTTTTGATTTAAGTATTACTGAAGAGAAGAACAAAATTAAAATTAACAATAGTCATAAACTAAGTCATAAAATCGATTGGACCGTGATACGGCGGCAGATCTGCCTTGGCAGGAGTAGATTTTATGCTTCCTTTCTTATAAAAAAATATAACTTCAAACAGATCCATAGCAACATGTTTAAAGACGATGGTGTCCCCCTCTTCTATTCCGTTGGCGTGAAGGAACCGACGCCAACCACTGTCAAATATGATGTTGCCCAGACTAAGACCAGCAACGATTATCCATTTGTCATTTTTGTGATTGAACAAACGCAGCATCACCTCTTTCCTCGGCCGAATATATGCATCTGCGGAAGGTGGCAAAACCTGCAATAGATTTTTTGGGTTATAAGCGGGATTGTGTTCCTAAATGCTGGGAAACGCAAATTAATTAAACAAGAGTCACCGTGATTGGGGTTTTCATGTGGTCAACACGGACGAGGAACGATATGTCCATCTTCGGTAGAAATAATTTTTTAAAATATGAAATTACAACTAAAAAAGAAATTTGTAGTAGTACAATTTATGGAGGAGATGGTGTATAATTTCTTTGGTAGATGTAGACGAATTTATGTTTAGGGTTTCAATGTAATAATGTAAAATTTGAAACGTGAAAAGTCGGCCATCGTGCCTCATCATTGTTCTGACGCCATTTTTTTATCTTTTTATAATATATAGCTGATTTGTTTAGATTGACCTGCCGCTTCAACTTTATTACACTGCATTAACATTATTCATGTCACACGACACGACACTTAAATAAATATAATAAAAAATAATACATATATAAGTGATCCAAGTCTCCAAGAACTATTAATTTTATTTAATAGTTTTAAATTTATTAAATAATAGGATAGTTTCGACAAAATTATCATATATTCGGCTAGACTATTGTTTATAAATTTCAAACATATTCGGTATCTGTCATTTTCTGATTTTCAAGTTTTTTTACCTTTATATTATATCACCCCTACAAGGCTGTTATCGAACCGAGTTGTTCACTAACAAAGCTCGTTCGTGTTCCTTCGTGTTCGATAACAGCTGGTTCGTTCGATAATGGCTGTTATAAATTTATATATTACATATAGTATACACATATAATATAATATATAATATGAATATATATTATAAATTAAATAAAATAACTTGCATGAAAATTAAATAAGAAAAATAAGGTTAACAAACACGATCATGAACTGATCCATAACAATTGAAACAATTAAAACAGTTCACGAACAAGTTTGAGTAGATAAACGAACGTTTCAAACCAATAAACGAACGAACATAAACGAAAATTTGTGTTTTTTTGGCAAATTTTTATAATGACCATTTTAATTTTTTTTGGGTTTTAAACCCTTTACCCTAAATCCTATACCATAAACCCTTTACCATATACCATAAACCCTAAACCATTTACCCTCCACCCTATTACTATATGGAAATGTATATATCGTTAAATGAGATATTTTTGTTAACCATATTTAATTTTAAAAGTAGGAAATAAATGATTGGAGATAGGTAGTTAAAATTAGTTTAGTGTATGAAAAGTATATTAAAGTTGATGTGATGTGTAAGAATGATTGATTTGTAATATTTAATTATATGAATAATATTAAAGATAGTGGAGTAGAGGGATCCAATTACATTTTGAATATGAAATAAATGTGAACAAAATAATTCATAAACAATCAAACCCTTAAATTTTATTAATTGGTCCTAATTATATATTGTTACTGTACCATATAAGAACAAATATTTTAGAATTAATAATTATAAACACAATAGGATATATGAAGTAGCCAAATACGATAGGGTATAACAACTAGCCAAATTACTATATTAATGAAGTAGCCAAATACGGATTTGAGAACAAAATATTACTATAATATGACACGTAAGTAACAAGTTTCATTCTAAAATATATAATAATATATATTTTTGTAACAAAGTAAATAAAAAAAAATCTCAAATTTTAACAAGTAGCCAAATTACTATATTAATGTGTTTATAATTATTCATTATTGTGTTGTCAATATATGATATATGACGTAACAAAGTAGTTGAGGAAATATGTCCAAATCCCATAACGTGCAACTCAAAACATTCCTAATTGAAGCCTCAAATTCCCAAATTTATTGTCTTCTTGATTAAACTGAATAATTAAAGGTCAACAACAATACAAATGCGAACGAGACAAGCGATTGTGCGTTATTAATTATTATTTTTAATTAATAAATTATTAAAGCCGCATTAATACATCTCCTTTCATCTCCACCTACCACTTCATCATCTCCTACATAAACAAAACAACACATACAAAAATATGAAACAATTAAAAAAAAATTATCAAAGGATATTTTTCCTTTTTATGTATTTTTAATGGGAATCATACCAAATCGAACAGTTCAGATAGTACAAAATAATGAACCGAATCGATAAAAAAAAATTAACGAACAGAACCGTCCTGATATTTCTGTATGCTAAATTAATATTCTATTTTTATACACAGGTAAATAATTATATCCATTCCAATGCTTAGATATATTATATATTTTCAGACAAAATTTCTAAAATTGAGCAATCAAATCCCTTCAAAACCATAATTAATGAGATCATTCCGAAATTACATATAGCAGTAATTGGAATACATATAAACACCAACCCCAACCAACCACTAATCTAATCCGACCTTGATAAAATAAATTAAAAATAAATACACGATATACGAAACACTCCACCGTCACCGGTTACACACCCCTTCACATTGGAAACTGTACTCTATATTTATGTGCGATAGGTTTTCAATGAAGTACATCTGCTTTTCGTTTGATCCTAAAACAAAAGAAGAAAAACACAAAAATGGACGATATCCCTTTTGCTGTACCAACAACAAAAGAAGAACACTTCAACTATATGAGGGATGGGATGCTGGAAAGATGGGATGAATGGTTGGAGGTTGCATTCTACCGCATACTACGAAGTTTTGTGGTGTTGGAGCGTATGACAGAAGAGGGCGAGATCTTCGTTAATTTTTATCCAATACACATGTCTTTTGTTGAGGAGACGGGTTCTTGGTATATAGTTAAGGATACTTACCAGATGTACAAGGTGCTTATGGAAAGGTTCAGGACATTTCAGTGGTTGTTGGATCAGCCGGGTGTGTATCACGATCCATTCGATTTTACCGTTCACGTCCCATTTCTGGTCAGAAAACTGGCGCTTAAGGTATATGTTTCAACAATCATATTTCATATGTTTAATCAAGTTATGTCATACGTGTAACTGGGTTGGTGACAACGTCATTTTTTGTTTTATTTATGAAGCATTGGCCGCTTCCGCAGTACGTTTTGAATGTACCTGAGCCGAGGTGGGACTATCTGAAGCCATATTCGAACCATTGGGGACACTGGCGAAGTACCCAGGCGAAGAGCTTAACAAGACACCTAGAGACTTCCCATCTCTGTGCCATCTATTTGGGGAATACATGAAACATCTGCAGGGGGTATTAATTACTAAAATTGCATTTGTTGTGTGTAACAATTTAACTATATGTTTAGTCGGATGTCTGTTTCAGTTTTTTTGATGAACGCGTGTTTTGGTATCGATAGCTGTGGTACTTTTTGTTTGCCTAAAATGTTATTTTAATGATCTTCTTATAAGCTTATTTCTAATGATGATAATTNTAAATGGAAATTATTTTAATCAGTTAAAATGTTGTTGGCATAAAATATTGTTTTGTGATCGATAGTAGGACAAACTCGGTCCCATGTGTGCACTTTAAATCGATTTTATGTTGGCTTTGGTTGATGGTAATTTAAAGAAAATTTAAACCAAATTTTTTAGATAATTCGATTCGATAATCGAATTCCATATTCATGATTCGAATTCGACATATTTGAATTTGAGTTTTTGAAACTTTATTTCGTATATACCTATTTGGTAGCTGTCGTGTAATATACCTATGGATAGAAGTGTATTTGAAATCCTTTTTAACAAAATCAGTGGTATGAATTTTATTTGGGGAAAAATTGCACCATTCGTCCACTAATTATACCTGAGTTGCACTTTCGTCCTTTAATTATTATTTTTTTAGTTTTGGTACACTATCATTTTGTTTTGGCAATTTTCGTCCAAATCGAGGCTCCGGTGCTCATTTTTACTGGAAAGCTAACGTGGCACCCAGTCGGATTGTCCGCCACATTAGCTTTTCCAGCGCCACATCAGCTTTTCCAGCAAAAATGAGCACCGGAACCTCGATTTGGATGAAAATTGCACCAAAAGTAAAAAAAATAAAAATAAAAAATTATTGGACGAAAGTGAAACTCGGGTATAATTAGTAGACAAATGGTGCAATTTTCCCTTTCATTTGGTATGGGTATGAAGTCAAATTTTAGGTTGGTCCGTTATACAATCAAGTGATATGATTCTCAAACTTTATCATATTTTCTTAATAACTTGCCATAAGATATCGATGATAATTCGACAAATTGGTATGTATTCCTTTTGAAAATCAACAAGATATTTCATTTGAATAGATCATACAAAAATAAATTACTCAACTACTTATTTTTTTTATTTGAATAGACCATACAAAAATAAATTCACTTTAATTAAATAAACCATATAAGTTCTAATATGTAGTATGAATTTGTTTTTAATATATATATATATATATATAATATATATATATATATATATATATATATATATATATATTGTTATGTTTCTAATATAGAACAAAAAATCCCATACTAATAATTTGCCTTAAAAAATCTCAATTTGGATAGAAAAAACATAAACAATATTTAGTAAAAAAATTTTATTATAAAATTTGTTTGAAAACGTATTTTGACTCAAATCGAATATGTTCGAATATTTTAAAGGAACTGGGTACGAATCAAAAAATGATTTTGTATTCAAATCGCATATGAATTCGAATTCGTGAATATTTTAACGAATCTGAATCAAATGACACAGGATCTAATGATTGAAAAGTAGTGATTGATTTTTTTTGTTCTTTCTTAATGTATAATAATGATCTAATTTATAAAAAGTGCTATATTTATATACCCAATAGTTTTTAACATTATAAAACTTATATTCATTAAATATGTAGTACTTTATTTTTATTTGCATTTGTGCATATTTATTTAACATTATAAAAATGATATGAATAGTCATGACAATGGAATAGAGGACGGAGAGACAATTATCTTCAAATGTATCGGTTCATGATGCATGTTTCATGTAATGTTTTTTGATAAACTTAGATCCATAACTTCCACTCCTGAACGACGACAGTATAACAGTCGACATGATTTATGATGCGTTATTTGAATTGAAATTATCATTACTCAAAATTAAACATTCTATTGGTCTAAATTGAATGTTATAAAACATATGTTATGGATGTTTGAAAATTAAAATATTTTCTCATAGATTGCAAATATTATTAAA